TCCTCTTCCTCCTTTTCCGCCTCCTCCTCCTCCTCCTCCCCGTTCTCGTTCTCCTCTTCCTCCGCCTCCTCCTCCTCGTCCTCCGTCCTCCCCCTCCGTCCCCCCTCCGCCTTCTCCTCCTGGTCCTCCTCCTCCGTCTCCGCCCCCCTCCTCTTCCTCTTCCTCCGCCATTGCTTTCTTATCCTTGTAAATAACTCCTTCCCGCCCCGCTCCAAGGCCAGTCGGAAGGGCTGCCCGTGTGTTTCGCCTGAGACTTCCTGTTTGTTTCTGTTCCTGAATCTGGCAAGCTGGCAACGTTTTCGCAGATGGATGGCGGGCCGCTTCCAACATGTGGCTCTCGCCTTATCGCCGCGCGCATTCGTTCTAAACACTTGCAAGAACTTGGCGGATTGAGGGCGGGTGGTTTTCAACGTGTGGCTCTCGCTTTAGCGCCGCGCACATTCGTCCTGACAGTTTGCAGGAGTTTCAGAGATGGAGGGCGGTTCCTTTTCATTATGTGGCTCTCGCTGTAGCGCCGCGCACCTTCGTTTCAAACACGTGTAATCGTTTCACGGAATTTCATGGCTCATGTGCCCCACAGTATCGTTTTGGAGCGATTCATGATTGTTTGGGGACAGCAGTTACGTTGATTCGCAGTGCTGAAGTCCCAGAAATGGTATTCTGCCACGATTCATGGTCGTCAGCACTCAGCAATCATGCTCAAGCGTGGCGCCAGGGTCCTGGTAATTGTGTTGTGGCACGTTTCAGGATCTTCAAACGGTTGCCTCCAACGGGTCACTTCCTCAGTGAAAATGAATCCTTCGATGGGCGTATGACGGAGGACAGAACTTGGAGGGAGGGTTCATTCCAACATCGTTGATGAGTTTTGGGTTTGCACTAGTCCTCCTCCGCCACCTCCTCCTTCTCGTCCCCCTCCTCCCCCTCCCTCTCTCTTTTTCCCTCCCTCTTTCCCTCCCTCCCCCCTCCCCCTCCCTCCCTCCTCCCCCTGCTCCTCCCTCTGCTCCTCCCCGTTCTCCTCCTCTTCCTCCTCCTCCTCTTCCTCCTCCTCTTCCTCCTCCTCCCCCTCCTCGTCCACTCGCCTTGCGCTCCCTGCCTCCCTCTTTCCTCCGCCTTTCCGCCTTCCGCTCGTCGAGCAGGAATGAGCCGTCCCGCCGAGCGGAGCTGGCCGGTCGATCGTTTGCGAGCCGCCCAGCCCTGGTGGAGGCCGTGCGCCGGCGGGCCGCTGCCAGAGCGCTCCGGCCCCCCCGGCTTCGGGGTGCAGGGAGGCGCCCGCGCTTGGAGGGGGGGTGCTGCGGTGTTCCTGGTCTTCGTCCTCGTCCTCCTCGTCCTCCTCGTCCTCCTGTGTCTTTCTCCTCCTCCACCTCCTGTTCCCTCTGTTCCTTCCCCTCCTCCTCCTCCTCCTCCTCCTCCTCCTCGTGCTGTTTCTCATTTTTTTCCCTTATCCCTTCTCCTCCATTCCTCTTCCTTGCGCATGAGTCCTCCCCGTCGCGCCCCGAGGCTGGTCAAAACGGCTGGCTGTGCGTTTCGCTTGAGCTTTCCTTTGCATTTAGGATCCCGCGACCTGGAAGTTGGCAATTGTTTCGCAGATGGAGGCTCACACGCCTCACACGCCCGTCGTCGCGACCATGGATGCGGTTCGAAGACTCTCTGCGGAGATTCTGCAAGGCTTGGAGCCTGGGCAGCTGGCAAACAACTGCGAAAGAACCACAAGAGTGGCATCGCAGAGCTGAGGATTATGTTGCTTGGGCTACTGACATTCACTGGTGAGATGGACATGCTCTTCTGAGGCGTCCCGCCCGCCCCGGGCCTTAGACGGGACTTCTTTCCTTCCTTCGCAGATGGAGGGCGGGCGTTTCCAACATGTGGCTCTCGCCTGAGCGCCGCGCAAATCTGTTGTAACAATCCTCACGGATCGAGGGCGGGTTGTTTTCAACATGTGGGTCTCGCCCAAGCGCCGCGCACATTCGTATTACAGACTTGCGCGAGCTTCACGGATTGAGGGCGAATGGTTTCCAACATGTGGTTCTCGCCTTAGCGCCGCGGCGCACATTCGTTAAAACAATTTCGAGAGTTTCGCGTATTGAGGGCGATTCCTTTCCAACATGTGGCGCTCGCCTTAGCGCCGCGCACATTTTTCTTCAGCATTTGCAAGAGTTTCACGGTTTCCCATATGTGATGAAACGGATATGGTGTTTTGGAGCGACTCAGGAATGTCAGAGCGCAGCAGTTACGTTCGTTCGCCGTGTTGGAGTCTCAGGAATGGTGGTCTGGCACGATTCAGGATCGTCAAGACGCAACAGTAGGGTTTATTCGTGGCGTAGAAGTTCCGATAATGTTTGTCGCCACGCTTCAGGATCTTTCAACGGTTGTCCCCCAACGGGGACCTTTCTTTCAGTGGACATGAACCTTTGTAGAGGCCTACGATGAGGGAGCTTGCAGGGAGGGTTATTTCCAAAATCGTTGATGAGTCTTGGGTTTGCCCTGGCCCTCCTCCTCCTCCTCCTCCTCCTCCTCCTCCTCCTCCACCTCCTCCTCCTCCTCCTCCTCCTCCTCCTCCTCCCCGTCCTGCTCTGCGGGGGGGGGGGGTCTCGTTGGACCTCGGCGACCCTGCGAGGCCCTCGCAGGTCCTCGGCGGCCCTCGGCGGCCCTCGGCCTCCCTCGGCCGCCCTCTGGTGGCTTTCGGCGGCCCTGGGAGGCCCCTGGCGGCCCTCGGATGCCGTCGGGAGCCTCCATCCGGAGGCGCCGCTGGCGCCGTCGGCACGTGCGGGGGGTTCCTCGGTGTTGGCCAGCCTCGGGCTCCCGAGGGCCCTGGGCCACGGGACCGTCAGATGCAGCCTGGGATGAGCAATTGGTCCTGAGGAACACCCCGAGGACCAGGACCCGTTTCCACTGGGATTCTTTTCCTCATGCCAGTGGGGGGGGGGCTCGGAGGAGGAGGGAGGAGGGAGGAGGGAGGAGGTAGGAGGACCACCCGTTTCAGGCATTTTCTTTTTGTTTTGTTCCTCTCTCTCTCTCTCTCGTCATTTTTGGCCTGCAGGGGCAGTTTCCAAGCTCTGGGACTATCGGACATCGGCCCCAAATAGAAAACAGCTTTCCTTGGGGAATGGTTTGAGCACGCCACGTGCCCACGTCAAGACAGAAATCGTGACGTTTGAGCGACGTGGCGTCGCACTCGCCTGGAGCGGCAGCTTCGCTTGTGGACCACACTTTCCAGGCTGCCCTGGAGGTCCCGTCAGGGGGATCCGTTCCCTGATGGGAGCCTCCACTGCCGTGACTGGCGGAATGGGAAGGAGGAAGAAGGGGATGAGGAGGAGGGGGATGAGCACGAAAAGGAGGAGGAGGAGGAGGAGGAGCAGGAGGAGGAGGAGGAGGAGGAGGAGGAGGAAAAGGACTAGTGGAAACCAAAGACCCATCAACGATGTTGGAATACACCCTCCCTCCAAGCTCCCTCTTCATAGGTACCTACACGTGTTCATTTCCACTGAGGGAAGTGCCCCGTTGGGGGATAACCGTGTGAAAGTCCAGACGCGTGCCAAAACGCCATTCTTGATGCGCCCAGCGCGCCCATTTTGGCACGCCTCTCACCCTTTCGGGGGCTTCATAGGGAGCCCCACCGAATGCCCACATGCCAGCGTTCGCATGCGACCACCGCGCCCATTTTGGCACGCCCCTCACACGTTTCGTGGCTCCATAGGGAGCCCCACCGAAGGCCCAAATGCCAGCATCGCATGCGCCCACCGCACGCATTTTGGCACGCCCCTCGCACGTTTCGTGGCTCCATAGGGAGCCCCACTGAAGGCCCAAATGCCAGCGTTCGCATGCGCGTACCATGCCCATTATGACACACCCCTCACACGTTTCGTGGCCCCAAGGGGAACCCACCGAAGGCCCAGTTGCCAGCGTTCGCACCAGCCTGCCCCACCCATTTTGGCACGCCCCTCGCACGTTTCGTGGCCCCATAGGGAGCCTCACCGAAGGCCCACATGCCAGCGTTCGCATGCGCCCACCGCACCCATTGTGACATGCCCCTCACACGTTTCCAGGCTCCATGGGTAGCCCCACCGAAGGCCCAAATGCCAGCATCGCATGCGCCCACCGCACGCATTTTGGCACGCCCCTCGCACGTTTCGTGACCCCATAGGGAACCCCACCGAAGGCCCAACTGCCAGCGTTCGCGTGCAACCACCCCAGCCATTTTGGCACGCCCCTCAACCCCTTTCGTGCCTCCATAGGGACCCCCACCGACGGCCCACATGCCAGCGTCCGCACGCGCCCACCGCGCCATTTTGGCACGCCCCTCACTCGTTTGGTAGCCCTATAGTGGGCTCCACCGAAGGCGGTGCATACAACGACGGTGCCCACAACTGCAGAAGGTTGTTTTTTTCGCCATGCCAATTCTGTTTGTTTTTTGGTCACAGTCGGCCAGGTTCTGGTTTCGGTTCTGGTTCTGGCTCTCTTTTTTTTGTCTGTTCTCCTCCGCCCCGACAGCCGCCGGTCACGGCTTTGATTCCAGTTCTGGTTTAGTTTTTAATTCTGGGCTCGAAGACCCCCGAAATTGCGGTTTTGGTTCCGGTTCCGGTTCTGGTTTTGGTTCCGTTTTTTTCATTCGGTTCCATGAGTTCTCCCGATTTTGGTTCTTGTTCTGGTTCCGGTTCTGGTTTTAGTTTTGGCCTGTTTTATTCGGGCGCTCCTTGGTTCCGGTTTGAGTTCTGGTTTTCGTTCCCGTTCCGGTTCCAGTTTGATTTCTTTCTTCTCCCCCTGCCGAAGAAGACCCCCGAAACCACCACCGCAACTACCCCACAAGGGGTGCACTGGGCGCACGCGAACGCTGGCATCTGCGGACGGCAGAGGCAAGGAGGGGGAGGAGGGAGGAGAGGAGAGGTGAGGAGGAAGGAACGTGGGGCGCTGTCTCATCAGAACGAGGACCCAACACTACAAGATGGCTGGGACAAAACATTGAAGTTTCTGAGGCTTTTTGAATGGTTTTGGCCTCATGGTGGGTGCCTAGGAAGGCTCGACGGGCCCTTTTTAAGGCTGTCTTGGGGCCTCTTGTAGGTATGTCGGCGGCTATCTTGAGCCACCTTCGGCTATATTGACCATCTTCGGCTATCTTGAACCATATTGGAAGCCGTTTTGGGCTGCCCAGGGCCCTTTTGGAACCATCTTGGGCCATCTTGGGCGCTCTAACTACCCGCCCCCCCTTTCCAGGCCCAGGGTAGGGGGTGGGGGCAGGGGTCAAGCTACCCACCCGCCCGCAAGCCGTCTAGCTCACTCCCACCCGCCCTCCCAACAGATAAGTAACACCCGAGCCTGAGCATGTTCAGCGGTCGTCTTTGGTTTGGCAGCTACTGGGAACCAAAGCCGACCCCAGGTGCGCGACACTTCGACGAGGTGCGCCACGCGTGCCAGGTGCGCCACGCGCGCCAGGCAACCCTGGGGCCCGAGCGTGCCAGGCACGCCTGGTGCGCCAGATGCGCCACGTGCTCCTGGTGCGCCAGGTGTGCCGCACACTCCGGCCGCGCCAGGTGTGTGACGTTTGGGGCACGCGCAGAGTGCGTCAGGTGCGCCTGCGCACGTGACAGCACACATCGGAAAACATGTCGGCCCCCGCCATCCTTGTCGAACAACAGTGCCCATCTTTGTGTCTGGTGGCCCTGCGCACAGCAGGCCACGCGCCACCACCCCCGCCGTCCCTGTCAAAAACCATTTGTTTTTGTCAGGGATGATAGCCCTGCGCGCAGCAGGGAACATGCTGACATCCCCGCTGTTCTGGTCAAAACTAAAACAAAGTGCTCGCGGCCTCACGAACATGACTCAAGGCTTTGCCCAAACGTGTACTTAATATTGTTTTTTGACAGGGATGGTTGGGGGGGGCCGCATTGGGTTGGCTGCGCATGCTCCAAATGTGGAGGCTGAGTGCGGTTTGTATTGTTTTTTGACAGGGATGGTGGGGGGCGGGCCCGTATGGAGTTGGCATGGTTCTGGGTTGGCGGTCGGCCGCGTGGGGGAGGGGGTGTATGATAATACGGAGCAGTGATAAGCCCCCCCCCGAGCAGGGGGAGGGAGGGGGAGAGAATCCCAAACTTGTAAAACCATGTACGCCCAGAGGGCTGTTGGCATTCACTGGTCCGTCCTCGGACTTTCGTGGCTCTTCCACCCGATGTTTTGGTCTTCTTATTCTTCGCCCCAAAACTCCAAACGCAGTGTTTCTTCCACCGTGCATCCCTGGCGGCCTGGGATCTTCCTCGGGCCAGTCTTTCACCCCGGGCTGCTCTGTGATGGCCCTGGAGCCTTACGCAGGCTCCAGGAGGCCGAAAGTTGCTGTCCCCTGGCGAAAACGGGCGTGACCCTTGGGGTGGGCGAGGGGGGGAGGGGGCCTGCCATGTCACGAGTCGCGCTGGTACCGTCTGGGAATGCTTCAAGAATTCTTCATCCTCAGACAGCGCCAGCGCGAGTCGTGACGTCACCAGGGGGTGGGGAGGGGGTGGGGGACGCGGGGCTGGTCACGGGCGCATCGCGAATGATACAGAAAAACGGGCTCCAGTGGCCTTCCGTCGTTTCTAAAATCACGGCGCGAAGGGGTCTGGGGTTCGCAGCGGGCCCCTCCGCTGCCTGGCCGCGAGGGGGGGCGCCTCCGCAGCAGCCGCAGCAGCGGCTGCCCCCCGGCGGCAGCCTGCTGCAGCAGCGCTCGCAGGGCGCGCTCCTCCGTCGTCTCGTGTGCATGTCCATCGTTTCTCGGTTGCCCCTCTCTCCTTCTCCGTCGTCTCGCGTCCCTCGTCGATCGTCTATCCCCCCTTATCTTTCCTGATCCTCTCTCCTCCTCCTCCTCCTCCTCCTCCTCCTCCTCCTCCTCCTCCTCCTCCTCCTTCTCCTCCTCCTCCTCCTCCCTCCTCGCTTCTCCCGTCAGGTGTGGCGCCAGCGCACCTAGCTTGTCTCTCTCCTCTCTCCTCCTCCTTCCCCCCCCTCCTTCCTCTTTGCGTTGCGCTGACTTTGCCTCGCGGAGGCGTAGCGTGTGAAGACGTCGAGCGGCGAAAAAGCAATACCGTAGATCGACGCGCATGTGCGACGACGGCGACGCCGTGCAACGAGGACCATGACGACGGCGGCGGCGACAACAACGAGGGCAGAGGCCTCCAGAGGCCCCTGGAGGTCTCCGGAGGTCCCTGCGCCTCCAGTGTGACCTCCGGAGGTTCCTGGAGACTCAGAAAGGCCCCCAAGTTCTCCAAGCCTTCAGCAGTCGATTTCGCGCCGCATCGCCGATGCACTGGCGATTCGGCGCGATCCTCGAACCTCGAGCCTCGGACGTCGAGCCTTGATCCCCGAGGCCTCAGGTGTTCCAGGAGGCTCACAGAGGACAGGCCCGCGAACTTCCACGCCCCTCGAGGTTCGATCCTCGATCATCGGACGTCCCTCCGTCCCCAGTGTCTGGTCTCGGAGTGAGGAGAAGCGACACCACCACCACCAGGGGGGCCACCTCCAGTGAGGAGGTCCACGACGCCGTCCCGAGCTGGGGATGGGGGATGTCTCGAGCGAGAAGGTGGACCATACCACCAGGGGGACTCCCCTGGCTCCTCCCGCTGGTGGTCCCTGGAAGCGGTGTCGCTCCTCCCTGGTCCTGCAGTCCTGGGCCCTCGACGGCGACTGCGTCGGCGACGGGGCGGGGGCGGCGGCGGCGGCGACGCTGCTCGCGGGCGCCCGGCCAGCCGAGCCTGTGGCGCCAGGCGCGCCGCCGCCATCCGCGAACATGGGCGGTCACCCGCCGCCTGGAAGGGGGGGGACCACGCGTACTCGCGGGTCAGCCGGTTTGGCTGCGTCGCAGTCGGTTGCGTTCGGTCGGTTCGATTCGGTCGGTTGTGGTGTCGCTGCCGCGTCGCTGCGCCCTTCGGGGCTGCCTGCGGCCTGTCGATGTCGGTCGGCTTCGGTTTTGTTGACAGTTCGGTTGTTTTTTCAGGTTTTGCTGTCGCCGTGGACGGCCCGGCCTGGTCGCGCTCTGGCCGCCCAGATGAGGCCGCTGAGTCGGCGGCTCTCTGCCAGGCTCGGCCTCCCGAGGTCCGCGTGGGGGGCTCCGGGGCTGGACAGAAGCCGATGCGTGATGAGCATTACCGGCCAGGACGGACCCCTGGGGGAAGGGTCTGGGGCTCGGTTCTGATCAGGTTTTTGTCGGGAGGGAGCGCTTTCGTTTGTGTGCGTGTGGTGTGCCTGTTGCAGCTGTGAAATTTGTTGCATTGTGGTAGCTGTTGCGACTGTCGCGTGGAATTGTGTGCTTGCTATAGTTATTGCGTGTACCATGAAAAGCGATCTTACGCGGTGTTGAGGCGATAACCTCATGTAGAACACGCTGCAATGTGAGTGTGTGCTTGTCGGGTTTCATGATCATAGTTTGTGAGAGCGTTTAGAGCGAACCGTCTTGCCCGCCCTGCCGACACGTCTTGTGGTGCGACGAGGAGCCCGTTTCTAGCTGCCCGCAGCAAATCTGGCGCCATGTTTTTAGCCTCCCGAATGCCTCCTGGAAAGCGCTTTTATGTTTTTTGTTCTCGGGGCCTCTTGGAGGCCTCTCTTGGGATCTATGTGGCGCTTGCTGGGAGCTGTTGGGTGCGTCTTGCGGCAATGCTGGGCTGTTCTGGCGGCCTCGGTGGCCCTCCCGAGCCATCGTGAAAGCCTCGGAGAGCCGTGAAGAGCGACAGGTTGGGCGTCGGGCCGCCCAGGGAGTCTCGGGAGGGAGGGGCGACGCATGCAGCTTGGGCATGTCCAGAAGGGGGGGTCCCTCGGAAGACTTGCGGAGGCCCTGTCAGATAGAACTTGGCATTCTACCGCGCCTCCACGTGCCAGAGGGCGCGGTTGCGGACCGCAGTGGAAGAGGGACGAATGAGGACGAAGACGAGGACGAGGACGAGGAGGAGGAGGAGGAAGAGGAGGAGGAGGAGGAGTGCGGAGTGAGGAGGAGTGCGGAGTGAGGAGGAGGAGGCAGGAAGGAAGGAAGGAAGGGAGGAAGGAATGGGAATGATTAATGATGATGCTGATGCTGATGATCATGCTGATGCGGATGATGCTGCTGCTGATGATGCTTATGATGCTGATGCTGATGATACTGATGCTGCTGATGATGCTGATGCTGATGCTGATGCTGATCATGATGCTGATCATGATGCTGATGCTGGTGCTGATGCTGCTGCCGCTGCTGCTGCTGCTGATGATGATGATGATGATGATGATGATGATGATGATGATAATGAGGATACTGATGATTGTGATGATGATGGTGCTGCTGCTGATGCTAATGATGATGCTGTTGATGCTGATTTTGATGATGCTGATGCTGATGCTGATGATGCTGCTGATGTTGATGATGTTGATGCTGATGCTGATGCTGATGATGGTGATGATGGTGATGATGATGATGATGATGATGATGATGATGATGATGATGATGATGATGATGATGATGATGATGATGATGCAGCTGATGATGATGCTGCGTGACGATGCTACTGATGCTGATGATGATGCTGATGGTATCGGGGCGTGCGCTAATCACGACCACGCAGGATTTAGCCGCCGAGCCATACATCTTACACTTTTCACACTCATGCGGTGTCGCTGACAGCGCGGACAATCGTGGCCCTTGCCAGGTACTTTAGTTTCTGACCGCGCTGCCCAAGGAAGATTGTGCCGTTCGGGAAACGGTCGAAACTGAAATCCGCGACGCGCTCATGCGGCGGTAGCCGAATTTGTCGCCGCGCCAGGACGAGCGCGCGGCCCGCGCCCCCCCCTTCCCCCCGGCGATGCAAAGCTGAGCTTCGAAGCCACGCGACGATGTCACCGATGAGGTCCACTGCTGTCGACTCTCTGTCGGTCTCGTCAGCTTTGCATGGGGGGAGGGGGCGGGGGGGCGACGGCGCTGCGCTCGTCTCTGCGGCTCCCAAAATACGATCAAAACTATAGTGCCGCCCGTGCGGATTTCTTGGGGAAGCATTCGGGCGTCGGGCTCCTGTGCATGTGGTCCACGTATCATCGCGCGCGGACAGTCGTCTATTTCGCGCGCACAGGAGTTAGATAATGCAGTTGCGAACGTCCCACGCGCCCGCCCGCAACATGTTCGGCATAATTCATTCGGCCGCGATTGCTGGTTTGGTGCAGCTGAAACGGCCGCGATAACCGTTTCCGACGGGAACTTTCCAGCGCGTCTCGATGGCAGCGCTGGCGCGCGGGAACTCCAGTGCGCCTGCGCATCTTGCCGGTTTGAGTCGGCGCCCGTAGAGTCAGCGGCCCGCTGCTGCCAGGTCGCCCGGAGGCGACAATGCGCGGCGCGCGCCGACTTCGCAGAGACCGTGTATGATTTGGCAGAAACCGCGTGGAAACCACGTAGAAACCGCGTATTTTTACATAGAAGCCGCTGCGCACCTTAAAGAATTCGAAAGTCAAAATCCCCTTTAATTGGGTTCGACCGGCTTGTATGCAAAAAAATAACGCTGCCGCGACAGCGACGCCATGGGGCGCTCCCGTGCTGGCTGGGGCGAGTGGCGGGGTCAGCCGTCAACCTACGCGTTCAGTTCGCTGCTTCTCGAGCACTTCGCGATTTTTTGCCCATTCAGGCTGCAGTGCCAGTTCGCGGCGCCGAGCGAAGGGTCGGGGCGTGCGTTAAAAACGACAGCGCAGAATTTAGCCGCCCAGCTATACATCCACCCCCGTGCACTTATCACATTCACGCGGCGTCGCTGACAGCGCGGACAATCGTGGCCCTTGCCAGGTACTTTAGTTTCTGACTTCGCTGCCCGAGGAAGATTGCGTCGTTCGGGAAGCGGTCGAAACGGAAATCAGCGACACGCCCATGCGGCGGTAGCCGAATCTGTCGCCACGCCAGGACGAGCGTGCGGCCCGCGCCACTCCCCTTCCCCCCAGCGATACAAGGTTGAGCAACGAAGCGATGCGACGATGTCACCGATGAGGTCCATTGTCGTCGTCTCCTGTCGGTCACGTCATCTTTGCATCAGGGGGGTGGCGGGGGAACGCCGGCGCCGCGCTCGTCTTTGCGGCTCCCAAGATACGGTCAAAACCATAGTGCCGCCCGTGTGGATCGATCGGGAAAGCATTCGGGAGTCGCGCTCCTGTGCATTTGGTCACATATCATCGCGCGCGCGGACGGTCTTTTATTTCGCGCGCACCAATCAAGCTGCTGATGCTGGTGATGATGATGATGCTGCTGATGACGAAGCTGGTGATTATGATGCGGATGCCGATGATGATTATGATGCTGATGATAATGCTGGTGCTGATGCTGACGATGCTGTTGATGCTGATGGTGGTGGTGTTGATGACGATGATGATGTTGGTGAATGTGATGATGATGCGGATGATGATGGCGATGGTCCTGATGCTGATGGTGGTGATAATGATGCAGGTGAGGATGCTGCGGACGCTGCAAATGAGGATGTGGATTTTGCTGATGTTGTCGATGGTGATGTTGCTGCTGGTTCTGATGATGGTACGACTGACAATGAGGTTGTTGCTGCTGAGAGGTTGTACTTGAGGTTGCTGTTGTTGATGATGCGATTGATGCTGCCGATGATGCCGATGATGATGCTGATGATGATGATGCTGATGATGATGGTCATGATGCTGGTGATGATGATGGTGCTGATGACGATGATGAGTTTGATCATGACGATTACAGTGCTGATGGACGATGGATGTGATGATCATGATGATGATGAGGAGGATGATGATGTGATGAAGAAATGGAAGATCATGAGGAGGGGGACGGGGAAGAGGAGGAGGAAAAGGAGGACGAGGAATAGGAGGAGGGGGAACATGATGACATGGAGGAGATGGAGGAGGAGGAGGAGGAAGACGAAGAGGATTATATCACCATGGGAGACGGAATCGGGGGAGTTGGAGTCGGAGTCGCAGTCGGAGTCGGATGGGTCGGAGGAGTCTGAGGAGGAGAAGGAGGATGTGGAAGAGGGGGAGGAGGAAGAGGAGGACGAGGAGGAGGAGGAGGAGGAGGAGGAGGAGGAGGATGAGGAAACGAAGAGGACAAGGATCAGGCCACACTTGACATACGAGCTGTTCCAGACGGGGCCTCATCATTGGGGCGGTGAGGGATTGACCCTTCGCGCGCAGCGGAACCCAGCGGACAGTCCGCGGACGCCGCTGGCAGAGGTGAGCCGAGGGCGGCCGCCGCTGGCGGGAACCAGCAGAAGCACGGCGCAAGCTGGCGGACGTGACAGTTGATCCCCCGAGAGGGGCGAAAGCCCAAAGCCAGCGTTCCCATGGAATCCGGCGCCGGCCATTGGTTCCTGGAGTCTCAGATTCCCAGGGTCTCTCTCTGGCGGGATGAGGGGCGTCATGCGCAGGCTCCGTTGCCCTGCTCGGGCAGTCGCGCGAGGCATGCGAGCCGCCCATCTTGCTCGGGCCCGACCCTTCTGGCTGAAGGGAGCCACCTGTCGTGCCGAGCGGTGTGGTGGTGAGAGGTGCGTGGGGAGGGTGACGTGGGGCACCCGTGAGGGAGGATAATGGAGAGGAGGAGCAGCGGAGGGGAGGCGATGTCGGCGGAGGCTTCGGGAGGTCCCCAGCAGTTTCTGAAGGCCTCGATCCTTCGACCCTCGAAGACCAAGGAGGGGATGCGGGGGAGAGGACAGGCGCAAGGGCAGCACGTGGGGGAAGAGTGGCGGAGGGGCAGGCGCAGCAGTGTCGCAGCACCAGCCGCAGCTGGACAGGCAGGCGCAGATTCAGGCCTGCCCAAGTTGCCTCTCTCACGCTCGCCTGTGCTCCCGCATCGCCTCCAGCGCGCCGTCGCTAGGCCTCTGCGTCCTCGCACTCCTTTCGAGGGAGGAGAAACCATCCCGACCCCCATCATTTGGCGTCTGCGGAACGGCCCTGGGCGTTCTCTGAACGGCCCTGCCCTGTTCGATTCCTTTGGTGTGTCGAATAAGCGGCTTCGCTTGTTGGGGTGTTCATTCCCGATCCGTATCCTCTCCTCCCGCCTGCCACGCCTCACGAACACTTCCCTCTGCCTGCTCCTCCTCGTTCCGCTCCTCCCCCTCCTCTGCGCCTGGATCCGCGCCCGCTCGTTCAGGGCGTCCGCTCTGCCAGGGTTGGCTTGGTGAGAGTCGCGAGGCGACAGCGGGGGAAGCCGCAGGAGCGGAGCGGGGTGGCCAGGGGGAGGAGGAGGAGGTTCGGTTCGGCCGTCCTCGATTGCGCGAGTCAAGCTCGCAACTGCCGTGCGGGTGCCGCCTCCAGTGGAGGCGTCAGCCGAAGCTTGTCCACAAGGGGCCCACGGACGCGGGCCACATGAGGACCCGCGACTCACTCTGCAAAAAACGCGCAGAATGGTGGCTGCAAAAATGCCATTCTGCACTAACTGATCGGAACTCCTCCCTGCTCCTTCCCCCACCTCCTCGTACACGACCAAGTTGGCGTGCACGCCGCCCACGGCCACGAATTCGGGGGCGCGGGAGCGTCGCGGGAGGGGGAAGGGCGGCAAGGAGGGAAAAACGAAGGACAGAGCAGGCAATGAAGTATTCCCCCACCATCATCGTATACACGTCGAGCCCGCCCATCCAGAACACACGAACAAGATAGCATGGCACGGCTAAGTACGCATACCATCTGCGCTCAAAGCGTATCAGCTTCAGCCGATCAAAGACATGCCCCACCGTGAAAAGCTGTGGCACATCAAGCATGGGCCAAGGTAGAGAGACAACACACACACGCACACACGCACACACGCGTCAACAACAAGACTCCGTAGCCCTTTTGGCTCAAGGGGCGGGCGCCGCCTGTGAGCCAATGCCGCTCGCCGCCCGCTCCTGCGCGCGCGGGGAACCCAGGCCTGCCGGCGGACTTCCGATGCCACTGCGCTGGCCCGGCGGGAAATCAGTCGGCAGAACGCCCATCACGGCCGGCCGTGGTCCACCGCCGGTGCCCAGCGGAGTCGACCAGAGCGCGGGCGCTCGCAGCGGGCGGCTGCTGCGGTGCCGCGCCCGTGGGCCTGGTCTGGGCCTGGCTCTCTTGCTCGCGGCGGCCCGGGGCCCAGACGGCGCCCCCGCGCTTGCTACGCCGAAGCCGCCGAGGGCGGCGAGTGCGGCCCGCGTCCCGGCTCCCGCCGAGCCGCTGGCGCTGGTGGATCCTCCCGCTCTTGTGACCGAGTGGTGGCCGCGTCGGCAGAGAGTGTAAGGGGTCATGGCGGCCCTGGACATCCTGGAGCTGCAGTTCGCCGTGCGGTACCGGGACGACGAGAACTCCGAGTACCATTGGAGAGTGTTGGTTGCCAGGATTGGGGCGACGCCGGACTTGCGCGCGCAGATCGTTAATCTGGCGGAGCTGCACGTCATCCCGCTGACGCGGGGGGCCGGTCCCTGCGCGAGTTCGTCCGAGTTACTACGGCCCGGAGGCCTTGACGGACCAGCAGTTGGCCGAGATCCGGAGGGGGTGCGGGGCGCTCGCCATGATGCACGGCGCGGCCGTCGCCCCCGGGGCAGCTGTCGGCTCCGTGGCCGACTGGAGGTTCGCCGATCCGGCGTTCGCGCTCTTCGGCGACGTCGTGGAGCCCGCGATCATCGCGAATTCCGATAAGTTCGTCTCGAGGGACGCCGCGGGGAGACGCTCTGGACGACCGCCGAGCGCCTCTCACCCGAGCACCTGGACGAGTGGAAGGAGGAAAAGGGGACGGGTCCAGTGCGGGACCCGCGGGCCCTGCCCACCGTGCGGGGCTCGCGGCGCGCGAGGTGCCGCGACCTCAGGTCGGCCATGAGCGAGATGGCCTGGAGCGACCCGAAGGCTGGGGAATAGGATTGGCCGTTCGAGGGGCCCTCAGCCGTGAGGTTGCTCCTCCGCGCGGTGCGAGACTCGGGCGAGGAGCTCGGCGGGTTCCGCGACTGCTGGGTCCAGAGCTGCGGGGTCAGAGCGGACAGCCGGATCAGCTACGAGCGCCGCCTTTCTTCGCGACCCTGCTCCACCTCAACTGCTTCGACCTGCTGCACTTGGCGAGTTGGCGGGCGCGGAGCTCGCGGCGAGGCTGGTTCCCCGGATCGACGCGGCGGTCAAGAAGAACCCCGAGGCGCCCGACTTCAAGTGCACGGGCGTCATGGTCGCGTCCAAGTTGGACTCGGTCGGAGGCGCCCTCGCGGGCAAATTCGCCCGGCGCGTGGCAGCGGAGCAGCGCGCGCGCGCCCTCGGGCAGCGGCGCTTGCGCGCCGAAGAGGGGGGCAAGCGTGCGGCCAAGAAGGAGGACAAGGACAAGAGCTAGCTGAGGCGGCGACGTCGCGCTGGCTGGGGATTGCGCTGTGCTTGGCGCTGGGCCTCGCGGCGAGGGGGCGGGCGACCCGGTGCCAGCCTCCGCGTCGCCATTCCCGCTCCCGTTCGTCGAGGAGCTGGGCGGGGGGTTCGACCTCTCGGTCGGGGGGCCGCCCGTCGCGCGGGTCGGCGGGGGCGATCCGAGGCCCTGGCGTCCGGCGCCGTGGCTTCCGTCGACGCTCTCGCCCTCTCCTCGCGCGGGCCAGGGGCCGCGGGTCAGCGCGCCCGGCCGCGTGCCTGAGCGGGGGCTGTCGGATCGCCAGCGCTCCGTGCTCGCCAACGTTGCAAGGGTGGTCGATATTTTCGACCCGCCGTTCCCGAACTCCTCCTTCGAAGGGGGCGCTCTGGCTGAGTTGGTGCGGTCGGCGTCCATTTGCGACGCGGGGGGTTCGTCCGCGGCCGCTCGCAACGCGCCGAGCTGGCCTGAGGTGCCTGAGGGGCGCGCCCGGCTGATCTGCGCGCGCGAGCTCGTGGGCGACTTCGCTGGGGGCTATCTTGGCGACCCCGCCGACGAGATCGCGCTGGGAGAGGAGGCCCGCGCCGCCGTCGCCGAGCCGACGCAGCCGCGCTGGGGCTCCTCAACGCGGCTGCCCGGCGCCCGGCGTCGAGACCTCGCCCGTCGGATCGACGCTGTCGGGCTCGTCGCTTCTGGGCGGCGGCGGGTCGGGCGAGTCGACCTGTTATTCGCCGAGAGGGCGCGGGCTCGATTCGTCTCGTCCTCGCCGGCCGACCCGTCGACGACCTCCGCCGAGGTCTCGTTTGGCTCCTCCTGGCGTTCTTTGCGGACGTAACCGCAGTGATCAGTGGTTCGGGCAGCGCGCGTCGAGGCTGGCGCCGCCGAGCCCCGCGACGGCGCGCCCGAGGTCTGCGTCGCGGGCGCCAGGGTCGACCTCGAGGACAGGTTTCATCAGTTCGCGCTGGGCAAGGCGCGCGGTTCTGCCTGGGCAAGGCGCGCGCCGCCGAGGGGGCCGACGCGCGCGAGGTGCTCAGCGAGGGCGCTGGCGACCTCGAGTCCGTCGTGCCCGACGAGCTGTTGTGGGCCAGCGTCGGCCGGCTCGCCGCGGGGCGGTCGCGGGCGCTCTTCTTCCGCCGCGGCGCGCTGGAGGAAGCCAGGCGCCTGGCTATGCGTCGTGTTCCAGTTTGGGGCCTCTGGCCGACTGGCGCCCGAGGCCTCCCTTTGGTCCTGGCTTCGCGGTGGTGGCGCCGTGCGTCGATCGGCGGCGTGCTGGAGGCGACCCGGGCGCTGCGCGCTGCGCTCGTTGATGGGCTTCGTGCGATGGGGCTCGTCCCGCGCGGGGGCGTCGAGGCGGGGCCTGCGGTGGAGCTGGTCGGGCGGCGGATCCAGGGCGCCCGGCGCTCGCTCGCCAGCGCGCGCGTGTCGGCTTTGGCGCGCCTTGCGGGGGCTTGAGCTCAGCCGCGGCTCGACGCCGGCAGCCGTCCGACGGGTTCATCGGAAGTGGGCGCGGCGAGCGCCGCGACATCGAGCCCGGCGAGCTTTCCGAGCTCCGGCTCATTCGAGGGCTGTCCCACCAGGCGGCGTCCGACTTGGGCCGCGCGCGTCGCCGCGGCGACGCCCCGCGCTTGCGCCGTGCGCGTCGCCGCGGCGACGCCCCGAGAGGCCTGGGCCGTCGCTGTCTATCGAGAGCGGTGGCGGTTCCGCGAGGAGGGGCCCGACGCCGGGGGCGCGCGTCGCGGCCCTGGGGCCTTGCCCGAGCCCGCGCTCGCAGTCCGTGACCGCGGGGGCAGCTTCGGCTCGTGGGCCCCGCGGGAGGTCGACGCCCAGCTTCGCGCCGCCGGGGGCCTCGGCCGACGGGCTCGACATCGGCGGCAGTCGGACGTGGGCCGCGTCTACTTCCTGGAGGTCTTCGCTGGGTGCGCCCGGCTTTCCGCAGGAGTGCTCGAAGCCGGACTGCGGCGCGCCGCCCCCGTGAACGTCGAGAGCGGGCGGCGCTTCGACGTCGCCCGCAGCGGTGTCGTCAACGAGATCGTGCGATGGGTCCTTGCCGGTTGGGTTTGGTGCGTGGCGTTGGGAACGCCGCGCGGGCGCTGGAACTCGGCGCGGCGGCCTGGCGGGCAGGCCGACGGCCCGCCCCTCACCGCCGGCCAAGTGTGCGCCGAGCTCACCTGCAGGATCGTCCGCGCCTGCGTTGACGCGGGCGTGGTCTTCGTCATCGAGAACCCGCGCTCGAGCGGTCTGAGTCTGGAGCTGGGCCCCGCTGGTGCGCCGTCTGCGCCGTGCTGGCGCTGTGGAGGCGCGAGTCGACATGTGCGCGTGCGGCGCAGTCTGGAAGAGGCCGGCCCTCCTCGTGGGCACCATCAGGGGGCTCGACAGGATGGGGGCGACCTGTCCAGGACACAGCCGGCGCGTGGTGCCCCAGGGCTCCGTCCACTTGCCCGCCGTTGCGGGCGCTCCAGCAAGGTGGCGCTGGTGGACTTCTTTCGCGGCTGCTTGCCCTCCTCGCCATTGCCGTGGTCTGGGGGGGGTGCTCTGGGGTGCCGCCCCGCCTGGGGCGTGGCGCCAGCCTTGGGAATGCCGCCTCGACGCGTTCTGGGAGATCCGCCTGGCGGCCTGCGTCGGCCACGACCTCGAAAAGTTCGTCGACGCGGGCGCCCTCCCGATTTCGGCGACGCTCGGCTGGGAGCTCGCGAGTGGGCGCTAGGGCGGCGAGCCGCTAGCCGTGGAGCTGGGAGCTCTCGCTGACCGCGCGCGGGTTGGCAACCGCCAGCCCGCGCAGGCCCGGGCAGTGTCGCGGGCGTCGTGCTGAAGACGGGCCTGGGTTCTTGCGGCGGCTGGGCGTGGGGCCCAAGACCCGGCGTATTCGCCGGGGCACGCGCGCCTTCGTCGCCAAGTTCGCGCGCGCCGTCCCACGGGGCGTGGGCCTCTCCAAGTGGGACTATTTGTTCGTCGAGTACACTGAGTTCCTCGACCTCGACGGGGGCGTCGCGGGGGCCGTGCGCTAGGCCATGTGCGGCGTCGCTTGGGTGCTCGATTTGACAAATTCCATGCACCTGCAAACATCCCACCCACCCACCCGCAACGTGGATTGCAAATCCCATGCGGCGGCGGTTGCAATGAGTGCTCGGCTGGTGTGTCTTTGCGGCCGCGCTAGCCCGCGCATGCTCGCGCGCACAGCGGCCAGCTAGTTTGGCGCGAGTGACGCGGCCGCGATGGCGCTGACCGCAGGGAACTTCCCAGCGGGCACTTCAGTGCGAGTCGGTGACCCCTGGCGGGCGCGGCATCATGGCGACGCCGACATCTGTTGACACGATTATTCCCCAATCGGAGCTTGCTTCTGTAGGGCTTCTAGCGGATTCATATGGTTAGATGGGGGGTTGGCGCCGATTTCGGCGGCACGCACCTGGGTGCCCGGGTGCCTGGATGCCCGGGTGCCCAGGTGCCCGGGCGCCCGGTAGCCCCATAGCCCTATAGCCTTATAGCCCTATAGCCGGATAGCCCTATAGCCTTATAGCCCCTGTAGCCCTATAGCCCTAAGCCCTATAGCCCTGTAGCCATAATAGCCCTATAGCCCTATAGCCCTAATAACTCGATAGCCCTACAGCCTGAGCCCCCCCCGCTCCCGCATCGTGTGCCTGCTGCTTCGCTGGAGGCATCCTGCGTGGCGGTAGGAACCTGTTCGGGATCGGCACGGATTGGCGGCGGTTATTTTTTGATTGCGAAGAAAACGATCATCGTTTTTTCATCCAATAGTACCCCGAGCAGTATACCAGGGGTCGATTCGATGAGATTGGGGCTGGCCTAGGCAGTGCCCAGTTAAGGACTAATGGTAAGTATCTTGGGGTGTATTTGCGACGCGGCGGGACGCGCTTAGTTGGCAAGGCCCGATGATCAAGTACCGTAGGCGAGTAGGGGGGTTGAGGGGTCTCGGGCTCGGACTCGTTGAAAACATCCTGATCGACGCAACCATAGAGCTGAATGTGCCCCAGCTCAAGCATCTGGAACAGCCAGATTCTGCCAAAGCTGATTCAGATGTACATCGATGCGACAGATTCTGACGTATCTGGTCACCCACTTTTTTTTGAAACCCGTGTTCCACGAGTGTAGATTTTATCAGCTTGATACAGCCATGCGTTTTCTGGATTCGATTTCCGACATTCCCAAGGACCTCGAGAAGAAAGGCTTCCAGGCATCCGTGCGGGAAACCATCCAGACGCTCTTCCTGGGAGTTCGGTGCTGTCTTCACCTCCTTCAGCGGTCAGGTTATTTTCTCGGTCCGCAAGTCGTGAGCCAGGAAACTGAGGGTAGGCTTCAGTCCATCTTAGGTAGGCTCAGTCACCGCGTGCCAAGCTGTATAATGTCTAGCGTGCTTTAATCTACGTGCACTGCGTGGTCCACCGCGCGCAGGTGCCACCAGGGGCCCGCTAGATGTTTGCTTGGTAACGCCAGTGTAGGTGGAAACGATGTGATACACCATGCCCAATGCCCCCGAGGCTTTCGGAGGATTATAGGTCCCTCCCAGGCCCTGAGCGTGTGCGTCCTCACATGCTTCCAGGAGACGTTGATTCGATCGTAAGCTGTGCAGTTGCTCTCGATCTGCTTTTCACCGCGTGTAATTCAAGAGGGAGACTGAAGGTCTCGGCCCTCCTCCAGGCGCGAGTGAGGGTGCTGGCCCCGAGGCATGCTGGGCTGCGCCGTGTTCTGCAGGGAGGACACGCTGGGTTGGGATGAGCGCAGTCCTCCTCCTCCT